ATCGAACATCCACAAATATATCGTTTGCATCATCTCTCCCTTTTACTTATCGCTTTTACATTTGTGCTTACAATTTGAATCAATATATTTAGTCTTTACTTGCTTGAATTTAGATTAATTCTTCGAAAAAAATTTAAAAATCAATTCACCCACCTCTTGGTTAGTTAATCTCCAGCTATCAATTCATACGTGATTTCTCATTCTATTTGTCATTCCATCATCAAAAGAATGCATAGAAAAATCATAAAGAAGAGGGAGATATAAAAAACCAGCAATCAAAAACAAGAAGTCAAGATTAAGAATCCACAATCAAGAATTTGCAAACAATCAATCTTCGCTCTTCATTCTCAATGGATCAAGGTATGTTCGCACTTTTCTTTCTCTTGATGATTGGACATGGAAGATCTTGGCATTAAAAAATGGTTTTAAATATATCACGAATCATGGGCTTCAAATTTCTAACAAAAACCCGTATAAATGGTGAAAGAAGTATGAAAAACAAAATTATTAATAGAAAAATCATAGTACAGTAAAATTAATAGAAGGCTAAAGTGCTAATGGAGAAGAAAAGAGAGAGAGGTATTAAATACCTTAGCAATGCTCAAAGAGGATCAGAGTCAACGACGGTTTCTAGCACGCCAGACGGTGACTTGCTAGTATAACGATCTTATTTAGGTTGGCGTTGATATTAAGGTGTTTATTTTTGCCCCTAAAATCATATCTAATTGTAAATCAAATTTGGTAAAATGAATTGTGTTGGTGTAACACTATTCATTTACATCAAGTGCCTATTTGTCTACCATTATTGTGATGAAAATGGTGTAATGAATAGTATTTTTTGGAAAATGTGTGGTTAAAATTGAANNNNGGAAAATGTGTGGTTAAAATTGAAAGAAACTTTATCGGTTTATGTGTAGAATATTTTATTATTTGAATGTGTGGTGGAGATTGATTACTGTAGAAAACAATGTTTTGAAAAATGGTAGACAAACAGGGGGCAAATTTGGTGTAATTCATAATTCCACATTTTGCCCTTCATTTTCTATTACAACAAATTTTTATTCCATCTATATCATTTTGTGTGTAAAATTTTGTTTTAAAGAGTGTCTCCCATGGTTACACCAAATTTGGTATAAAAGTTGGAGATGCTCTAAGCCACGTTTCGTGAAGGAGTTTGATATCGTCTGCTAAGTCTAAACTCATAAAATTTTAGAGGTATATTCAAATTGAGATTTTTGAAGATTTTTAGACTTCTTTTAAGTGACGACTTTATAGATTTTGTGGACTTTTACAAATTTGTATGAAAGTAATTGAAGTCTTTCATAGACTTCTATAAACTTTTATCTTAAAACTTTTATAGACTTTTATCGAATTCATATGACCTTTAAAAACTTNNNNGAATTCATATGACCTTTAAAAACTTTCATTTAAAATATAATTTACATGAATTCCCACATAAGAGCTAGATGATTGATCCCTATCCTCTTTCATCATGTAATAATTTTTTTTAAAAGAATAAAAAAAATTAAGTCACCATAAATGTGTGTGTGTGTTCAGTATTTAATAATGATATTCAATATTATCAATATATGAGAGTCTGAGACCTTTAAGAAATAACTAACTAATCAGTATGTTTAAATTAATTATAAATTTTTTTAATATAAATTTTTATTACAAATTGATATTTTACATAAAAAAAAATTGGATGAATAAAAAAGAGAGAAAAAAGAGAACAAATATAACAGATACAAGAAACAATAATAAACTTTTAATCATGGCTCTTAGCTTCATTGAAGGAAAGAACAAAGAGAACATTTAAAGGATAGAAAATATTTATTAAAAAAATCTTTTGTCAAAATTTCCCAAAATCTTGGGATAAATGAGAGATGGTTATTCAAATTTTGTTTTTGTTTCTAGAGACTTTTATAAAAGTCGTTGACATTTTGAATACCATATGACTTTTAGAGGCTTCTAAAAGTGTTGATTGAATACATTGAGGCTTTTTAGAGTCTTAAAACATTTTTTAAATTTATAAAAGTTTATAAAAATCTCAATTGAATACATCCTCCTTATCTTGAGTTCAGTGGTTGCTATTCCACGTGGCCAGTTCATAGCAATGGCCATTATAAGAAATTTTCTTTTACAAAAAAGGATTGTGAAATAATAAAGGGAACAATACATAACTCATATATATAAGAATTTCATTTCAAAATTAACAAACTTGCCAAATTATTTCAAAAT